GGAATGAGGTTGTGCAAAATTTCATTAGTTGTGTAAGTGAAGATGTCCCTCCTTTTTTGCAAGTTTTCTGCGAATTGTGAAAAACCGTTTTTTCCGTGAACCATGATCTAGACCCCCATCCCCACCCCAACCCCCACTTTACCACCCCCATCACACTCATAGGGCAACCTGAGCTGAACTAGAAAAATAAGCATATTCGTAGAGAAACAAAAAATATCTTGCCAATTTCCACCAACATGGTTACAATGACGACACATGAAGGACGTTGATAAAACCTATGACGGTCAAAATGTTGAAACACGTGGACACCAAGAAAGACATGTCCGTTACCGGGTGTTACGGACTACCCGCACATGAACATTTCATTATGCCGCAACTAAAACTTCGGGTCAATCAGTTTTTTCTTGAATAGGAATCACTTTTAACCAAAAAGGGCTACTTTTTAATCGGCCCAAATGAAAAGGCCCACAGGCTGCCTTCTGAAGCGTTGTTCACATGCGCGCAGTGCAATCAGAACTAACGCATTATTATCTGAAACAACTTATTATTTCACCTTCCAGACAGCCAGCGTTTTTGTAGTGGTAGCACTTGCAATAATGTTTTCTGCCTTGACCATTTCAGAGGTTATAAAGCCTCTGGCTATCGCCTTTGCCATGTTTCCCCCTCCGAGAAACCCGACCTTCAATTCGACCGCCATTTTGAAAATACTGTGCATAAACTCGTGCCCAGGTCTTTTGAGTCCAGCATCTCCCTTTTCCCGCGTTCTTACAAATCGGGAATGGCGATGGGAAAAAAGCGGATAGATTTTCGAGGTTGCCTCTGTTTCAAAACGAGACCTTGTGCAAAACCTTTCATATGAAATTGAGTTTGATTTGCATGAAACCAAATGAATGGTTTCACGCGAAGACTCGTTTTGACACAGGGGCAAAATGGCCAATTCAATGTAAGGCAGTGGCTACTCTGGGGCTCGCTGTCTTTTTCAATGGATAACTAATGCTTTGCGCGCGCGTCAGATATATGTTCAAACTTTTTTTGACCCGTTATCAGCAAAACTACGTGTGGTGACCAAATTCAGGTTGTTATGAAAAAACTATAATTGGAAAATTTTCACTTTCAATCGGTATTTCGATTTGATTCATTTTCGCAGTTGTCTTCGCACATTTGGCGTTCAGACGTCGCCTTGGTTACTTCTGTAGACCTCTGTAGAGTCGAGCAGGTTTAAGATGACGTTAGAAGAGTTGTAGTGAGTATCCTGGATGGTGTTTCAATAGTCACTTCCACTAGGCACATGAAGAAACTTAATTCAATCGGTTACCTTTGAGCTCATTACCTACTCTGAAAGGCGGTTCCCCTGGGGGCTTTCTCAAATAGCACGGGGGACCTAGCAAGAATGAAACATATTAGTTACAGTTGATGATTTATTTTAAAATGCCATCTCTAATTCCTTCCTGTTATTTTATTGGCTGATTGTGCTGTCGGGTAATTTCACACTGACAGAGAATCGACCAATAAAGAAACTTATGTTGACCTTGTGAAACCTTGAATTGCGCACTACGCGAAACATAGCGGATTTCGCAAGAGGGGAACTTATATGTACATACTCGATCACAGCACTTTCATCAGATTCAACGAGTCTCAGTTTCACGATGGGGTGCGCCGCCTCGACGGTCTCTCTCAAGAAGTCTAAGAGTGAGGCACCGATCGTAAATAAATTTCTGCACACATCAAAACAGAAAGAACTCATTCGTCATTCGTGGAAATTGCTTCAAAAGAGACGGACTGAAATAGGAGTGAAGGTTTTCCTAATGTGAGTATGGTGATCGAACTTATTTTGTAACATGTAGCATCTTCGTACAATTTTTCAGTCGTTTTGATTTTGATTGTGGACTGCGCAAACGGTGAAGATTTCGGCGAGAAAGTTTGTTTTAAATTTAATTTAAACCTTACATTTCAACTTCAATTTTGTCCTTAACACAAAATTTGACGGCTTCCGTAATGTCTTAGGCCATAACGAATGAGAGGCCGAGCCTGAACATCACGAATTATAGCTAACTCGGTTAAGTCGTAACACATCCGGTGTGTACATTTTGTACTCGAGACCGTTAGCAATGCAGGCTCTCTATGGAAGCTTCCAGATTTCGTCAAAAAAATTTTTTTCTCAATATTTTTTCGCTGATTGTTCGGCATTATGTAGGTACAAAATGTGCTCAAAGTCGAGATACAAGCCATGTTCAATTTAGAAAATTTTCAACCAAAACAGAACACCGATTGAATTACTTATAGCTCGGTTGCACTATTATGGACAAAAAAAATATATATTTAAACTTGATAGATGTATATACATTGTACTATTTTCCCGATGCGATTTTGCTTAATAAATTGATTAGATTAATCAAATTTTCTAATAACTTTGCAAGTATTTTTTTAAACCTTTGAAAAGCTGCTGGTTTGATTTAACGGCAAATACTAACTGAAGTATACACAACATGTGTCTTATGAAAGAAAATGGAAAAACTATTATTTTATAAAAAATACGCCGGCAGTCATGATTGAATGATGATTGTAAAAACAAAGTTTCGTTGATCACGTATACTTTTAAAAGCTTTTTTCAACAAATCTGTGAATAAGTGATAATTTCAATGTCTTGATCATGTCGTAAAATAAATAAGATTGTTACTAATTAGTATTTTGCAACAGTTTTTCACCCGCCACAGTACAAGCAACGTTACATTTGTATTGCCGACGATAAAAGATTGCTCATTCAAATTGGATCATTACCCGAGATCAGAAGATCTTTTAAGCAAAATTAGTCTTTCGTTTTGTTCCGCTGCGGGTCGCTTATTTGCTCATTTACACAATTCAAATTCGTTGAATGAATACTTAGGCGTGAAATTATTTTGAACAAGTCGAGACATTTAAATGAGCACACTTTCAGTAGTGCTGGCTGCCCTGATCGATCCCTAGGTCGTGACCGATAATAATGAACCAGTACGACAACTAACATCGTCTTCCTTGCTTGGGGGCGAAAGTAAACACGTTTTCCTTTTTCTGTATGCAGCTCAGGGTAAAGTCCAAATCGATTTACTTTTTAGTGCTAATAAAACCGCGGGGGTTAAGATAAGCAAATTTGTGGGCCGTGCAATTCTGCACGTTTGTCCAATTCGCGACCGATTCAGAGCGCGGGTTTCTCTCATTAGGCGCTAAGTGAAAAACAGTTGACAGGTAGAATGAAATTATTCCGGTGAAAACAGAACATTTTGTGCTTTCTGATTGGAATACTAATAGAAATGTAATTCTAAATCAAATTAGTGTCACATTTGACAAGAGCTTCTTAGGTAGGTACTAAAAATCCCCTGAACTCATGATGTCGAAATTACTTCATGTGCGAATCTCGGCTTTTGAAATTACTTAACTTTGTTTCTTCACCGTTTAATATCGTGATAGTTCTATAAAAGTCTTACTTATGAGATTTCACTCGGATGAGATCTCAAAAAATAAAACCCACTTATTTCCGCATTCAGTCACAGAAAGCGCACAGATTTTGATCTTTTTTTGCCTTGTGGGTGTGTCTAAATTGCTTGTATTTTCTTCAAAATATTTCCTGCCCTTTCTTTGTTCCAAGGTTCGTAAGGTGGGAGCCTTAGTTGGATTATGTTAATGCTAACAATTTATGTATCAGATAAACATCTTGTTTGAATGATTTTCATGATTTCACTAATTTTATAAGCATAAACTAACTTGTCATTTTCGAAAAAAAAATTATCGGTTTTGTCATTACTAGTTTTCTATTAACAATCTGATTTGGCACATCTTGCAGTTTTTGTCAAATATACTGGCAAAACTCGCAAACTTTCTTGCCTTTGATTTAAGTTAAATTAATATTAAATTGACTATCCTGTGGTTGTTTTGACGCTCTTAGTCCCTGTCCACACTATGCCAGAGATTTCACTCCGAAAACGTGTCAAATGTTTTCCGTCCACACCACGCTCACCGATCATTTTGGATTCGTGTTTGAGGAAGACTCGGTCAGGGAAATCACATGATTATCGTAACGTCATCGTTTTCGAAAAGCTCCGTTTTCAAAATGTTTCCCGTCCACAATAAAACGCAAAGCCGGCATTTTCAAACTGCTCCGTTTTCGTGATGGATTAGTGTGGACGGTAGGTCTAACCATAGAAATAAAGTTTTGTTTTCAAATTTATCCGGCGTAGTGTGGACGCTGCCTTAATTTACAACGTACATAAGCATATTTCATTCACCAATCAAACAGCTCATTCTTGACGATTGAAAGTTCACATTACGACGGGTATTTTTTGTATTAACCTTCCTGGAATAAAATTTGCGGCTTCTGATGATATGTTCACTTCTTAGGCTTTTCGAGAAAGACCCGGGGTTACAAAACATGTTCGCAGAGTTCAGAGAAGTGAAATTAGAGGAATTAGCACGAACAAGGGAACTTCACGGGCACACTGAACGAGTGATGCGAGCTGTGGAGAACTGCGTGAACGCAATGGACGATCCAGACTCCCTGAGGGCTTACTTGATGGAACTGGGAAGGAGGCATGTGTATCGATCAGCAAAGCCTTCTGTTGGAAACGTAAGTACTACATGAATTGTTTCTCTCAACCACGTACCCAGGGTCCTCTCTCTTCGAGGTGGAGAGAGTACCCTGGGAACTAGGTTGCGTTTCTCTGGTCCTCAATGCCAATTTAGTTGTGATGTCTTTTGGTAGGGGCGTGGTGTAAGGGTTGAGGAGGGGTGGGGGAG